AATGAACACTGTAAGAATAGGAAGATGCAAAATTACATGAAAATAAACAAAATAATACATACTGCTTACTTGTGTTGCAGTTCTATGTAACTAGGCACCTGGGGAATATACCAACATTGTGCTTATAATTCCGTAAGAAGTTACGGCATCTTAAGAAGTTAGTGGCATCCTTTTAATATTGCAATTAAACTACTCTGTATGTACTTTATGTTCCATTCCTGAAGGGTATGTGGATATTTATCCTCCCTCCTTCAGTACAGTACTTCCTGTGCTATGCCTCTGGTTGCCACACAACAGTAAGCCATGGTTACCTATAGGCAATGTTGGCAATGAACTCAAATGTTCAGTTTTTCTCCCAACAGTATCTTGGATTGAATAGTTCAATTTTTGTTCCATGAGTCCAAAGCACTTTGTTCCAAAACCAGCCTGCCTTCCCTCCTCACAGCAACGTTTGGCAATGTACAGGTTAAAAACCATACAATAAATATATAAAAGAAGGTAAAATCCAGGGAACCAGATTTATTTATTTATCTGGCAACTTTACATAGCTACCCTCTTCTTAACCAGGCAATTCTGGGTAGCTTGCAAAAGAAAGAAAGACACCATGACAAAGAGTCCTAACAGGATAAAAGAAAAAAAAAACACGCCTGCCAGGCTCCATTAACTCTGTGACCACAGCACCTGAGAAAGTTTGGCCTTCAAAGCCTTGCCAACAAGACTGAAATCAACTGGATTTCAGGGTAGAAGCTGCTTCATAGGAGAGGTATTTTGATAAGGCATACCCAAAATAACAGAAATCCCAGTATACCCGGTGGGATGGACAGAAGCCACTGGAGACAAGCTTGCTTTGCATGTTCCTCTGCTTTAATAATAATAATGATAAAATTGGAAGGGACCTTGGAGGTCATCTAGTCCAACCCCCTGCTCAGGCAGGAAACCCTATACAATTTCAGACAAATGGCTGTCCAGTCTCTTCTTAAAAACTTCCAGCGTTGGAGCATTCACCGCTTCTGGAGGCAGGTTGTTCCACTGGTTAATTGTTCTAACTGTCAGGAAGTTTCTCCTTAGTTCTAGGTTGCTTCTCTCCTTGATTAGTTTCCATCCGTTGCTTCTTGTCCTGCCTTCAGGCGCCTTGGAAAATAGCTTGACTCCCTCTTCTTTGTGGCAGCCCTTGAGATATTGGAACACTGCTATCATGTCCCCCCTCGTCCTTCTCTTCGTTAAACTAGACATACCCAATTCCAGCAACTGTTCCTTATGTTTTAGCCTCCAGTCCCCTAATCATCTTTGTTGCTCTTCTCTGTACTCTTTCTAGAGTCTCAACATCTTTTTTATATCGTGGTGACCAAAACTGGATGCAGTATTCCAACTGTGGCCTTACCAAGGCATTGTAAAGTGGTATTAATACTTCACGTGGAGAAAATGTAAAGATATAACTTTTCCATATATCCCATTGTTGTGTAATCAAACTATATTATGGATCTCTAACATTTACAGGTAATGTTAGCTAAACTTTTCAATTAACTTTTTAGTTTGCGGTGATGTGTGTGTGTGTGTGTGTGTTCTATTTTATACATCTGACTAGTTTCCTGTCCCAGCAGAGATTTTTCTTGACTTTCCAGTTGATGTCCCAGAGTTAATAAAGATGTTGACAAAATTATATATTTCAGCAAGACAATGCTCTGTAACCAAACTCTGAAACAATATTTAAATATTGAAAGTTAAATGTTGGAATGGCCTTCTGAGTCCCCAAACATGAATAATATTGAAAATTGGAGGGGCAATTTCAAACATTCAGTATATGTTTGGGGCCTTGGGTTTGTTTTTTTTCTGAACTAGAATTCTGCAAGGAAGTATGGGGAAAAAAATTCAAAAACAAGAATAGGAAGATTCTTAGTTGGCTACTAGAAACATTTAGAACAGCGGTTCTCAACCTATGGGTCACGACCCCATTTGGGGTCAATCAACCATTTCACGGGGGTCGCCAAGCAAGGCTGTCCGCCATTTTTTTTCCCTTTTCCAGCGGGTGCCTTATCTCCCTTGGACTGGGCCAGCTGGTGGTCGGCCTGCTCAGTCTCTGCTGCTTGCCAGCTACGCCTCGGCCGGCGCAGGGGGCGGAACCACGCATGTGCGGCGCTCCCGGGCAGGGAATGTCGACCGGTTGGGTAGTCCTTGACTTACGACCGGTTTAGTCCTCGACTTACAACCGGTTTAGTCCTCGACTTACGACCGGTTGGGGGTCGCGGCATTAAAAAGGTTGAGAACCACTGATTTAGAAGCTATTAAAATATGTTCTGCTCTCGGAATATGTCATTTAAAATTCACATTAGGACCATGGAATTGATTATGGCAGAACACTGAATCACTCAGAAGTCTACCTCAATATTATCTTATAATGTATTGGGCCCTCTAACAAAGAAACACATTTTACAAAAAAAAGGGTCTGCCAGTGCAAGAGTTATTATTCTGCCTCAGCGGCAAAAGCCAACATAGTCGAATTTTCCCGATCACTTTACTGCGATCTAACAATTTCCTGGATTTTCTGCTGTCCAAATGTAACTGTATTCAATACTGGGTTTTTAAACTGCCAAAACACAGCATCAAATTTTGTCCATTTGTGGTATACATGTGATCTCCTATTTTCTAAAATATTTTTTTTTAATTTTATGAGCAATGAAATGTTAAGACAGAATATATAAAAATGCCCAGTGCATCTTATACATGAGATCTCTGATATGACTTTATAATTCAATCACAATTCAAATCTTAGCATCACCATAGAAAAATAATTCAAGAGGAGGCAACGCATCTAGCCATGGTATGAGGCTTGATGAGTTGCATCTGCCAACGTTTCATTATTACGAGCAAACTAAAAACTGGCATAGGACTGTGTCATTTTCTTTTCCCTATAAAATATAAGAGAGGAGGCGGTTTCCCTTAACTGGGATCACAATTTGGGGACAGAAATAATTCCATTATCTTCTATATAAATAAAAATGTAAATGTTCGTTTGTTCAAAATCTTAAATCTCCGAAGGTTCTTCACCGATTGCTTTGAAATTTTGACACAACGTTGCATTCGAATACGCGCGTGTTTTTATATACCTATATTATATAGATGTCACACCTGTGACAGGTAAATCATGCTTTTTTTTGAAAAACAGCGCCATCTGTTGGACATAAAAGCAACACACGCTTTTACCAGACTGAGCCACAGCAACGCGTGGCTGGGTACAGCTAGTATAAAATATTTTCCTACTTCCTTAAATTACTGGCTATCAAATAACTGCAAGGGTGGATGTCCAGCAAGAAAAATGATTTAAAGAGATTTGATCCCAACTGCCATGCAAAGGAATGTTTCAATACTTTCTAAAAAAAAAAAAAAAAGGTAAGACACGTGATAATAACATGTTTAGAAAAGTATGAGCACACCAGGATAGAGCTCTCATTAGTCAATTAATTGCATTGCATTGCTCCCAGCAGGACCTGTCCTAGCAGTTTACTTCTGATCAGCAATCCAGAAGACTTCTCCACCCATAGTAGTTGGGGTTCTAAGCTGGGATCTAATGCATTTCAACCTCTTCTGTTCTGCTCAGCTCAGGGAACAATGCCCATAAATTCGTTCCCCGTATTTTTTTCATGGCAGACATGAAGAGAAGGAGCCCTCTAGCTGTCCTCCCCCCCCCTTCCTCTCAGAACCTCATTTTAAAAATCTCTTTAGAAATAAAGAAAATATTCTAAGTCCTTAGTACTATGACAGCCATTAATAGAAACACATTTACACAGCAGGATCAGGAGAACAAGTTGAACCAGTTTTGAAGAAAGGCGCAGGGGAATGTAGTTTTTTTATTTAATAAAATACAAAATATTAAAATTTATAACTCTGCCACAGCAAAAAGCTAAGCACTAATGGATTTTAGCCATATTCAGCATTAACATTAAAAGTGCATAACATTTTTCACAGTATACATTTATATATGATTTATTGTCTTCTTTATTATTAACTCTAATTTTCACAAAATATGAGCCATAATTTTAAATAAAGTTCAAGCCAGTCACAACTATTTAGAGGAAAATCTGAAAATAACAAAAGCCTTTTTTGGTTTAGGCTGAAAAAACAGAGTAATTGTTTTTAGGTCAACGGTGAAGAAGCTTCATCCATCCATAAATGATCTTACAAAAACTCATCAGTTTTAGCAAGTTTATCGTGCCCTTGAAGAGAAGTGCAAATGAATCTTGCTTCTTCAAACTGTTTGTGGTATTTCTAACATCTTTTACAGAACTGAGAATTCAACGTTGAATGAAATGCCTTATTTACCAGCTTCAGTGGTCTTCTATAGTTACTTGCACCAACTCTGGCACATGGTCAGAATAGCAATTAGATGAACACGTTCTAATTTAACAGTTCCAATTAAAACATTCTAAAAATATAATTGCTTTCCTCCCAGCATACAGTTTATCTGAAACATATGGGAGTGAAATTTGAAGTTTGAAGTTTATGAGACCTTAAGAGTATATTGCATAGAGCTTATGAAGACCATTATTATACTAACTCCATCCTTTCAAATTAGACACTCAATTGGCTAAATACCCAAGTCCTTGCATCTGGATGATAAATTTCCAGATGTACATACTGGTACTGGTCTGCGGCGCGTTGGGAACTGGGCCGTGCAAGTATGCAAAGCTCCATTTGCGCATGCATGGGATTAGGTTGTGCATGCAAAACCATCCCCTCCACCACCACCACCACTATCAGTCCGCAGAGCCGGAAAGATTGGGAATCACTGCACTAAAAGCTTTTTTTAAAATATTAAACGTTGACATCCTATGTTTAAAACCTTAAGATAATATTGCAAGTGACATTACCACATAGGATTAAGCCAAGCGTGTTCTTGTGCAATGTTTAAGAGTATCAAGCATACAACTTAATAATTTCCATTTGTTTAATACAATGTAAACCCACCTCTGCCTCTTACTGAGCTGGCAAAGAATAAGCATGAATTAAATTACAGACAATGTTTATTAGGTAGCAACACTTTACATCTGTTTTATTTATAGTCAAGGCATAAGGCATAAACAGAAAAAAATACACACACATCCCAGTTTCTCAGTGAGTCATGGGTCCTTCATTTTTCCCGAAGATTTGTTACAATTAAAGCATTCTTCATTGCTCCCACACAGGGAACTTTGGAACATATTAATAATATCCTGCCATCCAGGTACAGTGCGTAATAAAACAGAATGAATACTTCACAAAACTATGCACTTAAGAGCAGAAAAGATTAATTACCATATCTTATTAGATCAGGTCCCAAGAACACATGGGAGGAAACCTACCAATTCTTGACTCGGTATATTAAATCCAATGGAGCTGTCCTACGAAAGGTTAGTTCTCCCATTTGATATAGTCTTCCTCCCATGACTAACTATAATTTAAATTGTAAAAAAAAGAGCTTTTGTTTATTTAAAGTGTCAGTATGGGCAAGACAATTCAACTGCATGACTTTTGAGAGGTACAAAATAAGGGTTAGATCTGAGGCAATTGAGATGTGTTCTACACCATAGAAATATGTTAACTGTATTTTAGATTTGGTTAGGCAACCCTACATTCTCCAAGGCTTGGAGGGGACAGGAAGAGGGGGAGGGCAATAGCAGGGACAATGGCAAACATCTGTGAGAATTGTAGTCCTCGATATCTGGAAGAGACCAAGTTGTTTACTTCAATTCTGGATTAAATTCACCATTGACTAAATCCTTCAAAACTGCTAAAACAATGTATTTGTGCAGAATTACCAGCAAAAAGACTACTCTGAAGCTCTGCTCTTTCATAAATTCATTTCTAAGGCAACATCTATAATTTCAAATAACAGAAAATAAAAACAGCAGTCTTCTTCAGTAGCACTTTTTCTGGAATTGTTCATTTGTTTCCTTCTTTCACCACTGAAGATCACCATCACTTCAGCATATATATATATATATCACTATGAGGCATATTCAGACCACACAAGCATGGTCCTATGTAACAACAAATTGTCCACCTTTCTAATCAGGATTCAGTTCAAAGCATTGTTCTACTTCAGTCTGTCTTTTTAGATTTCTCTTTTTCTATCATGCAACGGCGAACAATGCTGTCAAAACCTGCTATAAAATACAGACTGACCAAGCGGAAAATGCCCAGGAACATAACCTGTGAGAGAAACAATCACATTTAATTTAATGTAAGTTTTTATTTTTTTTAAAAAAATTGCAAAAATAACATATTTCATTATATGCAAATGAAGTATATAATTCAACATATTTTGCCTAATAGGTATTTCACAATTCTTACGAATTAAATCCGATGTAGAGAAATGAAAGTCTAAGAGCTTAATCTAATCCCCAATTTCTTTGCTGAGCTGGAAGATTACACCAAGTAATATCTATATCTCCGTGCATGACTCTTTCACCGATTTGTTTTCTTGTACGGATAAAAATGCTTAGCCAATGACCTCCTACTTGGTTCTGTCCTGTCCTGTAAATGTTTGTTCATGCAGGAGAACACTGGGATGGATGGCACAATTCTTAAGTGGAGAGGAGAGGCCTCAGCCTACCAGACCAAATATTCTACTTTAAGTGAATGATGTTGTTGCTAAAAAATAAAAATAAAATAGCCTCAAGTATGGATGAGTACATATTTTATAAAAATGAATTTAATTCAGTCAAGAATAAATGGAGTGCCTTATCTTTCACTGTAAGCTATGAATTACTACTTGAAAAGGAAGTAAGATTCAAATTAGAGAAACCAAGAGGAAGTTTCATGGAACTTTATGAAAAAGATAAAACCCTAACCCTATGAATACTGGATTTACCCCCTCCTTGTAGGTCATGACATGATTTTAAAGTACACAGACCCATTAACTTCGACCATTACAAAGCATCACAATAATTCCAAAAACAATGCTTCTATCTTGATTTTTGTTTCTTACCGACTCTAGGATTTCAGCAATGGAAGAAACTGGGGCCATTCCATTAGTTAATATTGTCAGCATGTGACCATCAGCACCAACAGAACTAGTAAATTTTCCTTGCTGTGGGAAATCATAAAACCAAACTAAACACCAATAGATTATCAAAACAATTCCATCAATGTATGATTTATTTTTAGGAAGACTTCAAACAATATAGTGTTAATTTCATATTACCTTCCTTAATGGGGACATTTCTATAAACTAAAATGGTGTTGTGTATACATAACCAAAGAAAGTGGATTTATCAGAATAAGCCATTTAAATTAACCAGAATGAAATAAAAATGCAAAGCCTATTAACCTAAACTGTCTTGTAAAACATGGAAGAAAGAACAAATAATATATATATAACCAATAGTACTGCCCAAACTTCTTTCCTCTTTTTATAATTTTATATATCCATTTTAGCTTTTGATACCCTTTGGAACAGAGGTGTGTTTTTTTTAACAATGTAAGACACTACATTTCTGATGCTACTCAATATTGTAGTGTTAAAATGTTCAATTCTGATACTTGGAAAGAAAAGTTACTATACATGAAATCAATTTTTTGAAAAGTATAATTGTTTTATTTTTTCCCAACTAATAATCCACCTATGTTTGCTTGTTATATAGGAAAAATGCAGTATTTTACTTACAACAGCATCCTTAACAATAATTTTGGCAACATATTCAGGTTGGCAGATTGATGATGATGCTTCTGAAATAAGTTTGGTTTCTAACACCTTAAATAGAAATACAAAGATAATATGTATGTAAAAGATAAATGTATTGACAAATCTAGCCACAAAAACCACCCATCTGAAACCTTTCTGCTAAATAAAACAGATGCATCAAGAGTGATCCAACAGTATCTATTTTTAAACCCTAAAATATATTATTTGTTTTTTGTAGATACTGAGAGTAAAACTAAATATAATGAAGTGTTTTATAGTGTCCATTGACCATTTCTATAACCATATATCTGCACCCATGGATAATTCCCTCTTTTTGACTTAGCAAGCTTTTTTATTTCTTTTTTTAAAAAAGAATGTTTATGTTTTATAGTAATTTTATTAAACATTACTATTAAAAACATAAACTGATATTAATTAAAAAATAAAACAAAAAGAAAAAATAGAAATTGCAGAAAATAGAAAAAAACATACTAAAAAGTATATATATAAAGAAATGACTTTCCTTATATCCCAATAAGTTAAACAAATTTAGTAACTTATCGCCTTCTCTTAAAATACAAAAAATGATCACTTCTTCCTATATTCCATATCTTATCTATAAAATCCTTAAAGCTTCATAATTCAGTTTTGATCAGCAAAAGTCCATTAAAAGCTATCAGAGATAATAACAAAATATCTGTTAACCTTGATCAAATAAAACTTTATATTCCTTCCTTTTAATAATAATAATAACAACAACAACAACTTTGTCACTTTGAAAGTACACCAATCGGCATACATCAAAATGAAATTTCGTTGCATACAGCTCTCAAAGGGCCACCACCTCCGATATACACTCCTTGTTCGTGGCCAGCTCAAGTTTCAGATCTTCCATTTTAGTCTCTAGCGAGTGAACGATGGCAAACAGGACAGATGGAAATGGAGCTCCATGTGGATTATCCCTCAAATTAGCTTGTATTCCTGCATGACAACCTCGCCTCCTTTTCTTTTTCTGTTCTTATCTCTTCCACCTTTTCCTTAAAGAGGCCTCACTCCTTTTCGCCCCTGGAGAACGCTGCCGCCGCCACCAACTCCTCCAAAAGCCTCTCTCCCATCCTCTGGGCCTGCCGACAGCCTCATCCAGTTCCTTTGCTCCATAAGCCCCGGGACCTCTCCTCCTCGGCCTCCTTTGGAAACAGTCCTTATTTGCAATAGAATCCGTCGCTGGGCCAGCTGTCAGATCTTGCTGCCGGCAGAACAATTTCAAACAGCACCAACGACTTTTAACGGTCTCACCAACAGTTCCGAAACAGCTAGAAACTCGCCATGCCAGCAAAGATTGTCAGTCGTATGTTGTGTTACCTTAGTTCCACCACATTGCTCAAGCACATTAAAACCTTCCTGATCATGTGGCCTATATCCCTTAATATCCCTCCCATAACTCTTCACCTTCGAGAACCAATGCAGCCGCAGCCGATCCAGGCGCCGCCATCTTACTTTTAACAATCTTGATCTTTCAAATGTCCTAGATTAGAACTTGATTTCTTTTCATTTTTTCTTTGTGTCATTAACAACTCTCTTTTGTAAATGCATTATAGAAAAGCGAATCTAGGTCACTCTTTGGTTAATTACTTGTATATCCCTACTGATTATTAAGACCGGTTCATTTGTAAATCCAATATAACATCTTTTTGCATATCATTCTTGTGGCCCATCGTTTTAAAATCTGCATTCGAATCTCAGTCTTGCACAGTAAAACCTGTTCCTCTTCTTGTAGCCATTTTTAATTCCATTTTTATGGTAGAAGACAATCTTAAAAGTTCTGAGCGCACTGTTTCCAAATATCCTTGAATTCTACCAAAGTTAAGAGTATTTTGCTTCATTCTGTTTCTTTTCTAATGATAAATTTTCATTTTTTTCTGATTCTCTTTACACTCCAACCTTCAAAGCTTCTTTTATGTCTTTTTTAAAAAAATCAATAGCATTTTCCCACAGGGAAGATTTCTTATACTTAATTTCAGAATCTTCATTTTTTTTATAGAATTGTAAACAATCCACAGGATATATTCTTATAATTATTTCAAATCCATTTGGACCTGCAGTCTGTTTGTAACTTTCCAAATTCTAATCACCCCTTTGATGTTTATTCTGAAATATTTTTTCCTCACTCCTTAAACTTGTCTTCAAAGTTTCTTTCACTAAGGATTGATGGAAATTTACCCAGTGCTGTAAAACCTGTCAATCCCAATAGTTGGTTAGTGAACAAGCAATTTCTAGTTAACAAACAATTTCTAAATGTGATTAGTATGTGGAAGTATGTAAACCCAGTGTCCTTTCAAAGGCACCAAACATGATTTGAGGAAAAAGATGGGTATTTCTTCATCTCCGAAAGCTCTAAATCTTCCAGAGACCAATGTCTTGCAATCTCCTGACAAGAAGCAACTGTATGGAACATTTGTGAATGATTGCAAGTTCTTGTCCAGAGGAATTACAGGTTGTCCTTGACTTACAGTATGACTATAATGGAGCCTGGCCATTACGGTCATAAGTCATGAAAATTGGGACTTACCCATGTGACCGACTGATTTCACAACCTTTTTGTGCAGCAGTCATAAGCAAAATGCCATGCTTGTTAAGCAAACCCATTATTCGTTATGGGGCATTTTTACTGAAAACTTAAGCAAATGGCGCTTTTTGGCAAAAACATCGTAAATTGGTCACATGACTACAGGATGTGGCAAATGACCATAAATGTGGGCCGGTTGCCAAATATCCAAAATACGATAATGGGACTACAGAAATGGGGGTGGGTGGGCAGCCACCAGAACTTTGAAACCAAGTTGCAAATATCTTTTGTGGGTGAGGGGGTGTCCACTGTAACATTTCATATTCACTAAGTGACTGGTAATAAGTCAAGGACTACCTATATGAAAAGCCAGTCTACTTGCCAGCCCTTCATTCCACTATAATAATCAACTCTCTTTTTAATGGAGCCATCTTTCGTTCTCCATTTCTTTCCTGAAAGTCTCATGCAGTGAACTTTCAAAGCTCAGCAGAACTCAAGTCGTCCTCTCCCTTTCCTCTCCTCTCAGTTGGCATTAATTTTCCTTATGCCCAATAGAACACTCCCTCTCACTTAATTAAAGTTGGTTGTGGTTTTCTTTGCAATGTAAACAAACTTAGTGTGTTGTAATACACCCACTTCAATTTTCTTCTTACAGATCCTATCGCACACGTTTTTCAAAAGTTATGTAGGTTAGGATCTCAGCTGTCAAACAGAAATCTGATTAATCCAGAGATGAGGCAGAGAATGGGAGATACACATGCTATCATAGATGTACATGGATCTTGTCTATGATTCAAGGGTTCCCATGTTGAAAAGCACCATCTGTTCTAACTGAATACTTGGCTCAATGAGCATGCGTGCACATGCACACAGATCTGTGCACAGCTTCCAGAAAGTAGAAGTGTGTAAGATTTCTCCTAGCAATGTTGTCTTTTCAAATTCAAATACTAAAAATATACCATTGCATAACCTAGTTTGCGGTAAAGTTGCTGTTGGACACACCAACTACCATCCAAGTGAACAAAGCGCCTTGTGTACTATGAAGCAGCCATTATGGGAAGCAATAGGATGGTCTGCAAGCATAAAAACTAATAAGAGCCATGATGCTGATAAAAATGTTGGTTGATTAGTCCTTCAGAATGGTATAGGAAGCGGGGTTCCAAGGCCTTCTCTTTCTGGTTGCCTTATTATATCCAAATCTATTGCATTCCATCTTTAGCAGGCAAAAACCTGCCTCCTATATACAGGTACTCCTCAACTCACGACACAATTGAGACCAAAATTTTTGTTGCTAAGTGAGACATTTGTTAAGTGAGTTTTGCCCCATTTGATGACCTTTCTTGCCACAGGTTACAAAAGGTGATGACCTGACCCCGGGACACCGCAACCCTCATAAATACAGTATGAGACAATTGCCAAGAGTCTGAATTTTGATTACACGACCATGTGGTTGTAAATGTGAAAAATGGTCATAAATTACTTTTTTCAGTGCCATTGTAACTTTGAACAGTCACTAAATGAACTGTTGCAAGTCGAGGACTACTTGCATAGAAGTATATAGAAGCAAAATACTATTTCCTATTAGTTTGAACTTTCTTACTCTAAAGCAGGGGTAGTCAACCTTGGCTCTTTTATGACTCGTGGACTTCAACTACCAGAATTCCTGAGCCAGCCAAGCTGGCTCAGGAATTCTGGGAATTGAAGTCCACGAGTCATAAAAGAGCCAAGGTTGACTACCCCTGCTCTAAACCAACTATATTATTACTGCAGCATGATCAGACATTGCAAGCAGTATAATTTTGGCTAGGCTCAATAAGTTAAAAAAATAATCTACTCATGTACACACAGGTCATATAAAAATCAATAAAGAGCAGAACAAAAGTGTTGGGACCACAATATTGTGATGTAGTCCACTTATAACGTCAGGCAGATGGCCTGACTGAGGTGATGTTTCCACTGGGTGGAATGGGGGATTACTAAGGAAACATTTACTGCTGAGGCCCTCAGTACCTCCCACGCTGCAGAGCTTCTTGTCCTTCCCTTCTATTTTGTAATTTGTTTTTCCTTTCCCTCATTTATGTAGCTCTGGGAGAAGAGAAAATAGTATGTCTGCGGTAAAAGTTCCTGCTAGAAATCTTGTAGGCCTAGTTTTCCTTTAAAAAAAAAAAAGTAACAGTTTTGTTTACTTTTTTATTTGCTTCACTTTTTCTGTAAGTTTTTGCTGTTGTTAATATAGCTATAGTGGCCTCCGATTTTGTGATTATTACATATTATCTTCAGAATAAAGTTTTCTCGTCTAAATCAATTGTTTTGTTAAATAATTAATTATAAGAATTACAATTATAAGCATTATGTTGTCTATAATTAACTAAATAACTAAACAAAATCTTATGTTTTCCTTTCTTTAAATACATAGCTTTTGTAAATCAATAATGTTAAAGAGTTGAAAGTTATATAGAGAGGAAAGATTTTCTTACACAACTTCTAAAGGGCAGGGTTTGGGGGGTTTTTTTGCAAGAAACTCACATTTTCTCTGATGAAAAATATTTTGGGCTAGATTTTGGAACAGAGATATATACATTCAAATTCATGGTAGAACAAGACATTTTTGATACTTGCAGCTATTTTACAGTTTTGGTATTAATAATGGGGAATATTGAAATGTTCACTGTCTAATTAGAGATAAATCTAATATTAATGTAATCATTTTGCAAATCTTTTTACTTGCAATACGGGTTTTTACTTTTGTTCTAGATCAGAATAAAATAAATAAAATATAATGTATATGAAAAATATAATCATTTTGCAAATCTTTTTACCTGTAATCCAGGATTTTATTTTTGTTCTAGATCAGAATAAAATAAATAAAAGTTTTCAGAGTTGTGGTGAATGCTGCGTACATGGTAATTGTTATGCAACATAAAAGTAATAAACATAATTTTAAAATGAGTTTGAAGAAAACATATTGATGTGTATATCTGGAATTTGACTGAAAGAAACTAAGAAGTTACCTTGTTCTGACTTTCTTCTGCAAAGCCAGGTGTGTCTGTATCTGGTGGATAGGCAATGGTCACACATATGTTATATGGTTTTACCTGTTGAGAAAAATACTCAGGCTTATGCTGTAGTAGTTTTAGAGCTCCATGCTTACTAATCTTACATAAAAATAGATGGTGAGATGCAAGAAAAGGCACATATTTTCCTTACAGTTGCCAAGAAGTTGGTAATACTCTAAAAATACTGCTTAACCTTCACTCTGTACAATTATTTCATATTTTATTCTAATTGATCACTTGCTGCTTACCAGTTAAATCAGTAGTGCAAGTAGGATATCATATTACCAGGGCTATAAGATGTATAAATCCCAGTAAAACCTGGGATGCTTAATGCAAGTTATAAAATAATACAGTAAAACTATGAACTTAGAGTTGAATGTGAACTGTAATTTCAACCTTCTATGTTCTGCTTGTTTTTTTTTTAAGATGTCAAATTGTATTCTTTTATCAGAAGAAGTGAAGCTGACTTATGAGCATATAGTTATTCATCTATATTTTATAAAAAGAAAAAAAATTCTTACTTTTGAACCTGGGCAAAATGTTGGCACAATTATTTGAATACATCTATAGAGCAGGGAAAGTTTATTTTCATGCTACTAACAGTGGCTATTTTGAAAAGTACCAGTATTCTGTTGCCAGACTGAGACAACTAGCATTGCCACAGAATGCATAGAATGGAAGAGACATACTTTATCAATATTATATTAAATGAACAACTAAATAAATTATCTGGCGATTCAGAAATATTTAATAAATAGGAGAGTTCTAGTTTAGTGTATAAATTAATCTAAGCAAACTTCTCCATCTCAGGATACTATTTTGCCTCTGGTTCAGCCTTGACCTTTTATTTGGTCCATATCCCTAACTCGTGAGCCTTAAAATTTTCTGGAAAAGAAAGAGGTAAATCCCATAAGAATTAAGTTTTCCTGTGCCTGATGTAACACTGTAAATCATCTTCTGCTTTGTGTTCACCGTAAATCATTCAAATATGGTAAAATTGAAACAAATCTCTATCATTAATTCTATGTTTTGGTTTTAGCCACAAACATTTCAAAAAATAATACTCTTCAGTTAGCCTAACTGTACAAAACGTTTTTACATTAAAAAGTATAACAGCTGTGGTGGCGCAGTGCTTAGAATGCAGTATTGCGGGCTAACTCACTGCTCACTGCCAGGAGTTTGATTCTGACTGGCTCAAGGTTGATTCAACCTTCCATCCTTCGGAGGTCGGTAAAATGAGGACCAAGATTGTTGGGGGCAATGTGCTGACTCTGTAAAGGTCAGAGGGGGGCTTAAAGAGGGCTGTACAGCACTATGAAGCGGTATATAAGTCTAGGTGCTACTGCTGTAACAAGTTATTACTATTTTCTTTAAGTACCACATATACTGGTGAAAGATAATCATACCTCCATATGTAAAGATTCGGCTAATCCTCTAAGAGCATATTTTGTTGCAGAATAAGCTGAATAGCCATAAACACCAACTTGTCCAGCCTGTGATGAGACAAACACAATCCTCCCCATTCTTCTTTCCTTCATTTTACCAACTACTGCACGAGTTGGGTAAACACTACCCAGATAGTTGATAGCCATTAATTGCTGTAGATAAATATACATTAGTGTCAACAGCTTCCATAATAAATTTAGCACAGATGGCGTTAATGTATAGGTAGATCAAAACAGGTGTGGTGCTAGCCTGTAACTTCACATTTAGGTTTCAGCAATCTTAATCCAAATTAAAGAGTGGCACAATCCTATGCAAAACCTATAATAAAAAACCCCCACAAAATATTGCTCCATGCATTGTGCTGATTTTACAATCTTGTAAAATGTCCATGGTGTGTGTTGCACTCAGTTCTATAGCCATTTTGATACTGTGCAATGTTCTTGGGTTTCCTCCCCAGAGGAAAAAGCTTTCAAGAAATCCTTTTGACAGTCAAGTTTTGGAAAGCCACTATGTCAGTTTCCAGTGTTTATTAGCAATACAGTTACAAGTAACCTAACTTCACTCCCAACAATAGGTCTTCACTACGAATTGAAGAAATGAGAAACTACTATAAAACTACATAGTAGCTATAAGGCCTCGTCTTCTAAAAATGACAGTTCTATTTTCTCTTAATTAATATCCCACACATCCATAAAATTAAATTGGTTCAGTGTTGTAACACTTTATGCATAAAAGTATCCAAGAATGTTTATTAGGTTATAACGTAAGTAGGAAAGATTCGACCTGGTTCAGTATAAGTAGTAACAACAGAACAAACTCAGGTACACTTTATATCAGGTATGTCCAACCTTTTGGCTTGCTTGGCCTATATTGATTGAAGAAGAATTGAACTGGAGCCTATATAAAATATACACTATAGTTCAGGGGTCCCCAACCCCTGGGTCATGGCCTACTATCAGGCTTGAGTCTTTTGGAAGCGGCAAGCGACTGTGTGTGTGTGTGTGCGCACACACACGCACACACACACATCCCCTTGAGCAGGTGACTGTGTGAGCATCCCCGCTCGCGCAGGTGACCGTGGGCGTGTCTGCTGTTTGCACAAATGGAGCTGCATGCGTGCATGGGACCTTTCCCCCCTCCCCCCCTCCACCGGGCTGCAAAGCTGAAAAGGTTGGAGAACTTTGATATAGTTAATGTATATAAATGTACATCATAATGTTAAAAGTTTACAATCATGTGGGATTATTAGCTAGTAATCCAGGGCCATATGCTATCCACAGGCCATAGTTTGACATGCCTGCTTTATATAAAGATTAATATTCAATATCTTAGTTTTTATATGTCCAGATGCATCAATATACGTTTATATGATCCTTGAGAAGTTTTAATTTTTAATAACTTCACTTTCACATAAGATATGAATAATCAATTTAATGCAACAGAAAAGGGTTTATTTAAGACTTAAGCTAGGACCACTTACCTCAAACCTATAGGTATCGATATCTTCAAATTTTCCAGTTATTGATGTTCCAGCACAGTTAACAAGCATGTCAACAGGACCCAACTTTTCTTGAGCCTAAAATACATCGGTGTCACAAATTATATACTACTATTTGAACAGAATATCTCTACCGTAAAATGAAAATATAAGCTTTATAAAAGCCAGCAGTTCCCTTACTTGTTTAAGCGACTTCTCCACATTTGCATAATCTTTGGAAACATCAAGAGAAATAGAATGCACAACCTATATGAGAAAAAAAATGAATTATATGATTCCATTCAATTGAATGTAATGTAATGTTGAATGTAATTGATTTCATAATTTACAACCATTTTAAATTAGCATTTTACATGTTTTGAATTATTTCTACCTTCCCAAATGCCATATTATGTAAGAAACTACAGAATTATTACTTCTTACATAAAAACACTAATAAAATATATTTTACCCTAGGTTACCATATCTAAAATGTGACTTAAACAATATTTGTTTGTTATTTTATTAGAGTTAATCCTGCCCTTATTACTTAACAGAGTGACAGAGTTGGAAGGGACCCTGGAGGTCTTCTAGTCCAACCCCCTGCTCAAGCAGGAAACCCTATACCACTGCATACAAACGCACAGGTATAGTATAGGTGGTATCTGGCTCAAGAGCAGTAACTGGGAGAGGGATCTTGGAGTCCTAGTGGACAATCACTTAAATATGAGCCAGCAGTATGCTGCAGCTGCCAAAAAGGCCCACACACTGCTAGGCTGCATTAACAGAGAAATTAGAATTAAGATCACGTGAAGTGTTAATACCATTTTATAATGCCTTGAGAAGACCACACTTGGAATACTGCATCCAGTTTTGGTCACCATGATGTAAAAAAGATGCTGAGAGTGACAAAGATGATTAGGGGACTGGAGACTAAGACATATAAAGAATGGTTGTAGGAATTGGGTATGTGTAGTTTAATGAAAAGAAGGTCTAGGGGTGACATGATAGCAATCTTCCAATATCTAAGGACCTGCCACAAAGAAGAGGCAGTCAACCTATTCTCCAAAGCACCTGAGGGCAGGACAAGAAGCAATGGATGGAAACTAATCAAGGAGAGAAGCAACTAGAACTATGAAGAAATTTCCTGACAGTTAGAACAATTTATCAGTGGAATGATTTGCCTCCAGAAGTTGTGGGTGCTCCAACAGTGTAAGTTTTTCATATGTAATAATCCTATTTCTCCCACAGCAACAACCCTGTGAGGTGGCTTGGGCTGAGAGAGAGTGATTGGCCCAAAGTCACCCAGCCAGTCTGCATGCCTGAGATGGCACTAGAACTGTCTCCTGGTTTCTAGGGGCAAGCACCTTAATCGATACTGTACACCAGGGGTAGTCAACCTTGGCTCTTTTATGACTCGTGGACTTCAACTCCCAGAATTCCTGAGCCAGCACAGCTGGCTCAGGAATTCTGGGAGTTGAAGTCCACGAGTCATAAAAGAGCCAAGGTTGACTACCCCTGCTGTACACCAAACTGGCTTTCAAACAAACAGACTTTCAAGAAAACTATTTGTAGTTAGCAAATAAATATTTCGCCAATGTGTCAATGATGAGTCACAAACATTAACATTAACAAAGATTCATACCTTGAGCACTACTAAAACTAAGTTGGCATCATCCTGAGGCCATCCCTCCTTGTTTGAAAAATGGGTAAGTGTGGTAGCAAGCACAGATTTTGGCTAGTTATTAAGGCATTAGGTGAATGTCTAAGTTTTATTTTATCAGGACAAAGATTTCCTGCAGGATGTAATTATTGTATCAATGAAAACTAATGGTTTTGAACAGTCTCCTGGAAACAGCTGCTAGGGAAATGAATAGAAGGGTATTATTATGTAGGGCAGCGGTTCTCAACCTATGGGTCGGGACCCCATTTGGGGTCGATCGACCATTTCACGGGGGTCGCCAAGCAAGGCTGTCCGCCATTTTTTTTGTCCGCCATTTTTTTCCCCTTTTCCGGCGGGTGCCTTACCTCCCTTGGGCTGGGCCAGCTGGTGGTCGGCCTGCTCTATCTCTGCCGCTTGCCAGCTACGCCTCGGCCGGCGCAGGGGGCGGAACCACGCATGTGCGGCACTCCCAGGCAGGGAAAGTCCTCGACTTACGACCGGTTGGGTAGTCCTCGACTTACGACCGGTTTAGTCCTCAACTTACGACCGGTTAGGGGTCGCGGCATTAAAAAGGTTGAGAACCACTGATGTAGGGGGTCTTATGTATGGGCTTCCTATTAATTCATGGCTGACCATTGTGGGAATTTTGATTAGATAGGCTGATATGCCTGAGCTAGCTCATCTCTTTTCTTTATACAGTTAAATAACAAATTTAATGTCAAAATTGTTGTAACCCATTCAATACATTCTAAAAATCAAGAAACCCAGCAAGAGGATTGTATTAATAGACAGCTATAAGTACTTAAATGTATAATTTTGTAGAGTTTTCCAAAAGATTCTAATTAGAGAAAATCCTTATTTTTAAAAGGATATCAAAAGGGAAAGAGAGAAAACTGTAACTTAACAACACCCCCCGAATACTGAACAATGTTACATCTCAAATAAAACCCTGCTTTGAATGTACTATTAATAAATGAACAGACAGCATTTTTAGATACATGATCAGAAACCATTCCACATAGGTGAAACTCAGAAATAAAGAATACTATTTGTAAATATTTTTACAGCTGGATAGAGGTAGGAGAAGAGTAGGCAGAGCTGGGGAGGGTGGAGTTTAGAGTCCTTGCATTGTCACAAGAGATCCATGTCCAGCCCTACCCTGAATTCCATTGACCCTTATCTAGCACCAATTTAGTGCTGACCATTAGTCGATTTACATATTTATCTTTTATGTTTTCTCCCTATTCTTTATTCATCCAAAACACATCATTGTTTCAAATATCAGCTACCCATTACATTACATACATATTTGGCTTATGCATCATTCTAAAACATAATATGGGTTGTCGCATAGTGTAAACATAGCTACTGTGATTTGTCCAACAAACCAAAAATAAGGCAAATTGTGACTATTACAACGTAAAACCAACCAGCATGCATTGCACGGATCATCTACAACAGAACTGGGCATTGTATGGCCTGCAGGCCACACCTGGCCCTTTGGCTGTCCCTGTCTGGCCTGCGGTGGCAAGTGGCAGATGGAGTAGGAGTAGGAGTACTAGTAGTGAGGCGGTGGCAGCAGGGGGACAGATGGCAGCAGTGCCATCCTTCCTCAACAGTCCCAATTTCTCATGTGGCCCCTTGGGAAAATTAATTGTCCACCATGATCTACATGTAGTAAACTACAACTACAAGAAGTAAAGTGTGTAGCCTTCCTGAGGTCACAGAAGTTTACCTACCATCAGTCTCAGCTTGACCAATAATCAAAAACTGTAATTCAGTGAAATAATGAATGAATGAATGAAAGACTGAATAATGAATGACTGAAACAGTGAATAATGAAAAATAGTAATTCAGTGAGATCTAAGAGCCACGGGTTCCCTGTTTCCCTTGAATTACTCTGCAGTCATGTCGTCATCATCCAATATATGCTACTGTAGACTAGTCTGCTGTACTTGTTGATTCTGCATACAAGGAATGTTACGAATTCACTAACAAATACTTCTCCGATTTCAACACATTTATTTAATGGATATAAAGTAGCAAGCCACAAAGATCTCTAAGGTTTTCAGCCACCTACACCAGATATCCCCAACCTTTTGGGCACCAGGGACCGGTTCTGTGGAGAGAGGTTTTCTGTGCACTGGAGGGGGTGTGGTTTTGTGTGCTGCCTACATCCCACAGATAGGGCTTTGTTTGTCTGTGCGGACCGGTTGCTGGCATAATATGGATTGTTGTATAGTGTAAACAGAGCTACTGTGATTTGTTCAACAAACCAAAAATAAGGCAAACTGTGACTATTTGCCCGGTACTGGTCCATGGACCTGGGGTTGGGGACCCCTGACCTACACTACTGACATGTGGTACTTATTATGGGTTATTCATTTCAGAGATAGAACATAGGTTAAACCTTCTACCATGAATAATATAATTATTCTGGGAACTCCCTATGCCTTAAAGACATTGACTGAAGGATGCAAATCCCATTAGTTTCAGAAAAGATACTGCTGGGAACTTTTAGAAGTCTCTGTCAAAATAAATGTGTATTTCTACCTTCTGGCTGCTAGCACCATGGATATATATATATATATAATTTAGGACTTCCTTTTCTTTAACAAACAAGCTTCGGATTATCTATGAAATTATTTGCAAAGTACTTTAGTTTTATGACTCATGAGGAAACTATTACATCACATTTTATTTATAACATTTGATAGTTAGGATAACAACACTTCATGTACTCTAAGTATGTGTGTGGGAAGAGAGAGAGAGAGAGAGAGAGGGAGGGAGGGAATATTGTTAAAAGTGAAAGTGGAAACTTACCTGTTTATCATTAACTGAAAATGTCTCAATTTCTTTCTTGGCCTCCAAGAGACGTTTCTGGAATTAAATAAGCACACCTTGGATTTTCTACTAAAATAATTATGTTAAAGTAAAGCATTTCTAAAATTATTTTAAAAATTACCATCTAGTATAGAACAAATCTATATAGAAATCAATGTATTGCAAGTTCTATAACTATGTAAGTAACTTCTTTAGCCAATTTGAACTAAATCAACCATTTAACTCCATTTTCAGAACTTTGACTTGAGTTATGTCTATATACAAGCCCATCAGTGTATTCAGAAGTTTCCTTGTGTTCCATGGGACTTATTAAGATGTAAAAGTTTACACTAGGGTAACCTTTATTCTTAAGCTCTACTTCCCAAGAAGCAAAAATCATTCTCATGAGGCATCCACATGACACATATCATTCCAATGGCAACAGAAAGGTAACAGAAATGCAGGAAGTGGTAATCGCCCTTTAATTGGAAGTCATTATTATATTATAACTCAGCCACATGTTCAATTTAAGAAGGCACCTTCAGGGTGGGACAATGAACTTTGTGGAAGGCATGGTATGCTCTCACCACCTCCTTAACTTTTCCTGGGGTCATGTAGCTATTTTCTGAGTCCAGGGAGAGATGCAGCTACTTTAAGCAATGCTAAATAGTGAGATGTGCATGCTTTTACCCCTCCAAAGCACTTTTTAAATTTTAGTTCAGAAGCACCGCACATCCCTACTTTATTAGTCTGTAAATGGCATAACGTCACCAACACAGGACTACGTGTAAATCTGTTAAGGGCTGGAATTCTAGCCAATACTGTTCAAGATTAAAAAAAAGTAATATAATATTGTAGCATCCGATACACATCACTGCAAACAAAGTAATTTCGGTATTTCATTTTAGTGGACATTTTTAACTTATCAATTTATATTTCATTTTCAGCACTTTAATGCTTTATTTATGTGTTTGTATTGTTGCTTGTTCCATTATTAGGTATGTTTTTAATTAAAGTAGATGTATGCTTCTTTGATTCAATCATAAAAAGCTGGTTACAACTTACAAAATAAAAATTAAAGTTTATAATATATAATGTACAGTAAGTACATAATACCAGAATCTACACAATGTTTTCAAGCCCACGAAACAACATAAATATATATGGAATATCTAATACAGGTTAATTAATATATATTTTAATTTTAATTTGGCTTTTAAATATTTATTGTATAGCTCTGTTTTTATTTACCTGTAAGCCGCCCTGAGTCCCTCGGGAGAAGGGCGGGGTATAAATTAAAATTAAAGTATAAATTAAAGTAATAAATAACTGTTTCCTTAATGAAAGGACACAACTTCTATCCAAAAATGTGAGGCCTGATATGGGAGCACTAAACATCTGAGAGCTCCAGCTTCTTCCTACACCTTTATTTTTAGCTGCTAATGAAAAGAAATAATTGCAGCAAGATCAGCTGATATGAGTCCGAGGCAGTCTTTGTTGAAGAGCTGGCCAAAAGGAAGCATTGCCTTGACAACTTCACCTGAGCTTGTTTCTGAGGTTTATTTCTGCCAATATAGCAATAGCACTTAGACCAGTGGTTCTCAACCTTTTTAATGCCGCGACCCCAACCGGTCGTAAGTCGAGGACTAAACCGGTCGTAAGTCGAGGACTTTCCCTGCCCGGGAGCGCCGCGCATGCGTGGTTCCGCCCCCTGCGCTGGCCGAGGCATAGCTGGCAAGCGGCAGAGACGGAGCAGGCCGACCACAGCTGGCCCAGCCCAAGGGAGGTAAGGCACCCGCCGGAAAAGGGAAAAAAATGGCGGACAAAAAAAATGGCGGACAGCCTTGCTGGTGACCCCCGTGAAATGGTCGATCGACCCCAAATGGGGTCCCGACCCACAGGTTGAGAACCACTGACTTAGACTTATATACTGCTTCACAGTGCTTTACAGCCCTCTCTAAGCAGTTTACAGAGTCAGCCTATTGCCCCCAACAATCTGGATCCTCATTTTACCGACCTCGGAAGGATGGAAGCCTGAGTCAACCTTGAGCCGGTGAGCCTCAAATTGCTGAACTACTGCAGTCTGCAGAAGTAGCCTGCCATACTGCATTTTAACTACTGCGCCATAATGGTGTGGCTTAGCTACCTTGGTGTAGACTGAAATGAAGAAATGGCAACGACATAAAACTATGCTTTGGAGTTGTGTACACTTGAAAACTGGAGAACCAGTAAGGTGTAGTGGTTAAAGTGCCGGCCTAGGAATCAGGAGACTGTGAGTTCTAGTCCCATCCTAGGCATGAAAGTCAGCTTTGGGCCAATCACTCTCTTAGTCCAACCCACCTCACAAGGTTGTGGGTAAAATAGGAGAAAGGAGTATTGTATATGCAATGAAGGCAGGATAAAAATCTATTAATTAATCAACTCGGGCCAGGAGGTTTCATTCTGCAAGGGAAGACGCCATCTAAAGCCTTGGCTTTGGAACTGGTCACAATGTTCTTTGATGACTTACTACAGAGACTAGATGTACTTATTCTGCTGGCTCTATTCCATGGAGGCTGTTTGCTCACGCCATTGTTTAGCCTTATAGAACTGTGGGTAATTTCCAATCGCATTGTACACAATTTCTTTTGAGTCTATGACTATATCACTTCACGCTTTGCAGCACCCTGGATGAAGAAGTCTGTTTAGTGTAGAAAAGCTTCTATAGCAGTAAAGTGGCTGATCACAAACCATTTCACCCCTAAGCTTTGTGGGGCTACAGTGAAACATTGCAGTAGAGACCTGCTGAATTCCACCAATAAAGACTTGCACATCTCCATATGCAAAACAGCAGTTTGACAGTAGACAGTAGATTGGAACCAGGCACACGTGAAAAAGTATACCAGAAGGACAAAAAACACTTGCTCTGTGCCTTGTCCTCTGGATTGCTGAGTTCAATGCACAAAGAAGTATAAGATATTGATCCTTGTGCACTGAGAAACCATCCTATAAAAATAGGATGTTGGCTTTCTCTCCTCATAGCCCAATCCACGGATGTTATTTGAAGGGCTGACGCTGATGTGATCCTATCTTGATTTTCCTACATCTGATCCAGATTTACAAGAATAATGTCTCTACTGAAAAAACACTAGAAATGCCACAAATCAGCTACAGCTCGCTTTCACTAATTTAATTTCAATTTTTTTCAATGGGATTTAGTCAAGACCAGACATGTCAAACACAAGGCCCCGGGGCCGGATGCGGCCCGCAAAGTGGTTTCATGTGGCCCGCGAAGCCATCCTGGAAACAGGTGAGGGAACGGCCCCCTCTGCCTTGGCCCTGGCCCAGGCCAGCCAGGAGCCAATGTACAATTTTGTGGTGGCCATCTATGCTGAAACACATTCAGTCTTAGCTCCACAAGGCCGTCCAGAAACAGAGGGGAAACCAGACCCTGCTGCATTGGTCCCGCCCCCTGGGTGCATGTTGGGGAGGTGTCACCCTTTGTGAGTAATGAACAAATGGACCATGCCTTGGCGCTTGCCCCGGTCCCACCCCCTTCTGCCAGAGACCCTCAGATCTGTCCCACTCCTGCCCAGGCCCCCACAGGCACCCTTGACGCGAACGATGTAGAGCTGGCCACGCCCACCCAGTAGACCACACCCACTCCATCCACGCCCACCCAGTAGGCCGCACCCACCCTGGCCACACCCACCCGGCCCCCCAAGGGCAACCGCAATGCTGATGCGGCCCTCAATGAAATTAAGTTTGACACCCCTGGTCAAGACCATCAGTGCTTGATTTTGAATCCCAGAATGCATTTAATTAAACAACAGTGACTTATAGTCATTGTTGTGTAATAACCGGTAATTAGCTTAAAACACGATAATTATTAAATAACCAAACTTAAAAATTTACCTCGTTTCTTGCAATCAGTGTCACGAAAGCACCCTGCTTGACGCACTCAATAGCAATGCTTTTCCCAATGCCACTGGAACCTCCAGTTACCTTTAAGTAAAGGAGATATGGATTAAAGTCATGAAGTTAGTAAATTGTCATTGTACAGCTCTTAGAAATAAGAATTCCAAGTAGAAGCCACACACTTGCATGCACCAGCATTTTTCCTCCATTTGCAATGGGACATTTCTGGTCCATGGCTATATTATGAAGATGGTAAACAATGATAGAAATGCTCCGCAAGTTGTCTCCATGGTTAATCAAGTTCATTTTAAACTTAGTTATTTAATAGAGTTGTGCACCCTAATCTACTACTAAGCTATCTACATCCTACTCTTATTACTGAGCTTTCTTTTGCCAATTGGGCCTGTTGATCCATCTTGTTTTAGGTTTCTTTTGTGGACGCTTTTTATCAAGTGGAATCCTTTCTATGACTGCCTTGGTCCACCTGTCACCAGTCCTTCTTGCTATGTGATCAGCCCATTTCAATTCTTTTACTCTCTTGATGATATTGTATACTTTTGTTTGTTCCCTAATCCACGTGCAGGTTTTTCTAGCTTGTCTTGTAACGCCAAGCATGTATCTTTCCATGGCTCTTTGTGCCATTCGTAGCTTTTGTATCAATTGTGGGGTTAGTGTCCATGTTTCACCAGCATGTTATACACTGATCGAAAACTTTTCTCTTCAGGCAGAGGGACAGGTTGTTCTTGAAAATTATGCTTCGCTTGCCGAATGCCTGCCAACCACATTTAACACGTCATTCAATTTCCTCTATTGTATCACCTACCATTGAGATCCATATAATTTTCTTCTTTCTTTGATGAATTTATTAAACAAAACCTGGCTCTTTTCCAGGTTATTTTTAAGCCAAATGGTTCTCCTGCTTTGTGCCGCTCTTGTATGTGTCTTTGTAGCTCTTCTGAGTCTTGTAATAAGAGAACATCTGCAAATCTTAAGTGATTTAAATATTTTTATTTAAATAGTTAAATTGGATTTTTATTTCATCTTTTGCCCAGTCTACTTTGTGAAATACTTCTTCAAGGCAGGCTGAGAAAAGGATAGGTGATATTGTATCACCTTGTAGTAGATCTTATTTTCAGGGGATGTCTTACATTATAGTAGGTAATTATTAGTGAAACTTCTGGTATTCTCCATTGTCCATCGTTTTTTCATTAAAGCAACAGTTTCACCAGAGAGTTTTGACTGTACAAAGTGTTTTTCCAGCAGTGCTATAGATGTAGCAGTTTCATGGATGTTTTTACAGTGAGGGAAAAAAATATCTGATCCCCCTACTGATTTTATATAGATCAGTCTATAATTTTAATGGTAGGTTACAACAAAAAAACTCCAGAAAAACGCATTTCAAAAAAGTTACAAATTGATTTGCATTTTAATGAGTGAAATAAGTATTTGACCCCTTCGCAAAACATGACTTAGTACTTGGTGGCAAAACCCTTGTTGGCAATCACAGAGGTCAGACATTTCTTGTAGTTGGCCACCAGGTTTGCACACGTCTCAGGAGGGACTTTGTCCCACTCTTCTTTGCAGATCCTCTCCAAGTCATTAAGGTTTCGAGGTTGACTTTTGGCAGCTTGAATCTTCAGCTCCCTTCACAGATTTTCTATGGGATTAAGGTCTGGAGACTGGTTAGGACACTCCAGGACCTTAATGTGCTTTTTCTTGAGCCACTCCTTTGTTGCCTTGGCCATGTGTTTTGGATCATTGTCATGCTGGAATACCCATCCACAACACATTTTCAATGCTGCTTGGCAATAATCTTATACCTAGAGGTCCCCAACATTTTGGGCACCAGGGACTGGTTCTGTGGAGAGAGGTTTTTCCGCAGACTGGAGGGTGCATGGTTTTGTGTGCTGCCTGCAACTCGCTGTTGAGGCTTTGCTTGTTTGTGCGGACCGATTGCTGGCATGCCATGGCCCAATACTGGTCCATGGACCGGGGGTTGGGGACCCCTAGTATAGCCCATCCCAGCCTTGTGTAGGTCTACAATCTTGTCCCTGACATCCTTGGATAGTTCTTTGGTCTTGGCCATGGTGGAGAGTTTGGAATCTGATTGATTGATTGCTTCTGTGGACAGGTGTCTTTTATACAGGTAACAAGCTGAGATTAGGAGCACTCCTTTAAGAGAGTGCCCCTAATCTCTGCTCATTACCTGTATAAAAGACAACTGGGAGCCAGAAATCTTGCTGATTGATAGGGGATCAAATACCTATTTCATTCATTAAAATGCAAATCAATTTATAACTTTTTTGAAATGCGTTTTTCTGGATTGTTTTATTGTTATTCTGTCTCTCACTGTTAAAATAAACTTGCCATTAAAATTATAGATTGATCATTTCTTTGTCAGTGGACAAACATACAAAATCAGCATGGGATCAAATACTTTTTTTCCTCACTGTAACTATTTGTTCATTTTGGTCCGTAATGTTCATCTCTTCCAAATCTTGCAATAGACCAAAGCAATCTAATAGATTAATCTCAGAATTGCTGTTCTCCTCTAACAGTTTATCACTCTTTGTTGTGTTTTTTTTGTTTTTTTGTGAGGCCTTTATCATTTTCATATGTTCTTTTTGACATTTATACATTCTTTTTTTGGGTGCATCATGTAATATAATTTTTAGTTTTTCTTTAATTCATGGGTTCAATTATATTAAGAGCCAGTACATTGTCATTATATTTGTATATGCTATCCAGGTCACCAGTTTGACATACCCAATAGCTGATCTACAAACAGTCAAAATGGATAATGACAGTGTGCATTTTGTTTCCCCCTCTTTATTTTTCTTTCTACTCCAACCTTCTTATATATATTCTTTGCCCAAGATAACAGCCAATGCATTTGATGAAATTGACTATAATCCATAACATACAGCAGTGATGGCGAACCTTTTAGAGACCGAGTGCCCAAATTGCAACCCAAAACCCAGTTATTTATCGCCGGGTGCCAGGTGGGCGTGTGTAGCTGTGGTGGTCATGGCAGATTGGGTGGGTGTGGTCAACTCAATGCTGCTCGTGGGGAGGGACGCCTGTGGGGGGTGGGCAGGGTTGGGGGAGATCCAGGGGGTCTCTGGCAGGTGGGGCGGTAGGCAGGAGGCTCGTCCTGTGGATGAGGCGAGGCAGGGGTGCCACTGCCATGTGGCTGCTGCCTGACACCATCGGTCCCCGCACACAGAGGCCAGCGAGCGCATGGGGGCCGACGATATCCGTCAGCAGCCACAGCCTGCTGGCCCCTCGACCGGCGCACTCTGGGGCTCTGCAGCCCGCCGCCAGCAGTTCAAAGAAGTCGCTTATGAGCTGGATAGCTGGCCAACAGCTAAGGAGGCGATGCAGTGGGTCGTGCCCGGGAAAAGGAGAGCATGCGAGGCCAGGAGGGACGGGGGGGAGGGAAACCAGCCGTGCCCGGATGCATCTGGTCACGTGGGACCTTGGCGAGTTAGCAGGCGGCTGGTTGAAGAGGGACAGTTGCCATCTCCAGGGCTTGCCCAGAGAGGGCTCTGAGTGCCACCTCTGGCACGAGTGCCATAGGTTCGCCACCACTGACATATAGTATCTTTTTGAGATATTAGAATACTTGTTTTGCAGCAACAGGCTACCATATTTTTTAAAAAAATAGAATTACATATGATTTTGTTTTTTAAAAAAAATTAATTTGGATTTTAAAGTAGTGGTTTTATTGATTAAAACATAAATTCAGTTGCATTTTAAACCAGTTGAACATTTTTAGAGTTTAATTAAACTGATGCTTTTGGGAGCTTGTTGAAAATAAAAAAATTAGCATATCTATCTAGAATTATCTATTAACATTGGAATGAAGGAAAGGATAGAAGCATGTAACAGATGTTGTATATTTATTACAACAAAATGATAAATATTTGTTTTGGGGAATATGACGAGCATTCAGGACCAAATCTAAATAATTCCTTAGGCTCTTATGATGTTCTAAACTTAAAGAAAACAGCTCTGAAAATCTGCCTCCACTTCAGAAGAGGTTTCCAACAAAACTCCTATGTATATTTGGGCCTGTAAAACAGAAGGGTACTTCTTTAAAGGGTGGGGGAAACTAAAGCTAGTAGAACAAAGTATTACATTTCTTTAAATTCTTGCTTTTATCTTTTTTAAAACTAACACTAAGTTCGAAAGAAAAAATAAAGGTCATTCATCAAGGTCACAATTATCTCTCACAGTAAAATGCTAAATGTAATAGATTTCAGGATAAAACTTCTTGAAACATAGTCCTAATATTGTAAACTGACTTTAGAAGTAAATCAGTATTTCTTGATTGTTCTAAACAAACAGGAAACAGTGGTTTTTAAAATGTAGTCAGTCAACAATAGCTGAAGCTGAAATATCTTTTAAAATTACAGGAAAATATTTTGTCAACCAAAAGATGGATTAAGATAAGTGTTTTTGGTTCAAGGTAGGTTCAAGACCATTAATATAATAGCTTACTAATTATAACTCTAAAAGTAGGAAACAATTGGACATTTTTTACTTTTTGTGGCATGCCTATCTTCCTGCTGATATACATCCTCTCTATAAGATTATTTTTGAATATATCTATATACTGTATGCTTGAAAACAATCTAAAACCAATTAAAAATACCCGTACAGATTAACCCCACCCCCACCATTTTAAAATGGTGATTATTTAAATGTCATATGTATGGTTATCATAATAGCTTAATTTTGTTTAATTTTTAATTTTTTAATTCTAGTGTCACTACGTGCCTTTAATAATGCATTTCCAAGTATTATTACTTTGAAATTCTGCTGCCTGTTAATTTTACTATTCCTGAGTATGGAAAGAGACTGTAAAGGCTACTTTTCGTTAAAATCTTGCCACCAGAATTTTCGTAAACTCTGTAATCTGCCTTCTTCATTTATTATATTTATTGTGATTGGCATCACCAAGATTATAAACAGAAGCACAAAATCAAACAACATGGGAGAATACATCAGAGTCCTGGTCAGAGTAGAAGTGACAAATAAGCTTCATACTTTTTGCCAGGATGTTTTGTTCAGAATGGGATAAATGAATGTCATCTAAGATTTCTGCATAGAGAGCAACAGAGGAACTTGATAGAGCGTCCCCACAAGGGATATATGCTGGTGTAAAGGGATATTTTTATAATGTCCCCACGGATCTGTAGAGGGTAGTACATCCATCTTGGCCCAGTGAAGGCCTGATGAAATTTCAGAAGTGGAATGGAGGAAAGATAGGATGATGACAAATATCTTATTTGGGGGGAAAAAATCCATAGACTGTGATATTGGATATTAGACTAGTTTTGAAATTACTATACAAGATTCAACAAGAAATACCTGTTATCTTTAAGTGACAAAGGTTAAAGGCAAATAGCATGCCTATCAGGTCCACCATTTGATTGTCTCAAAGGTATATTTGTTATGCAAATTCAAAAATCAGAGAAATTCTTAGTTCTTAGTTTAACCTCTTAGAGGTTAAACGATTTCTTAATGCATCCAAAAAGGTGCAAATTCTCATTCTAATACTTTTTTGAAAAGGAAATGATGTAAGTCAACTTAATACAGTTGGTTGATATTTGCTTTTAAAAATCTATGCAGTTTGTATAATGGTTTCTTGTTAAATATGCATTTAGCAGAACATTTTTTTCTCCATAACTTATTTCGGGAACATAAATTGAAGAAGGTTGTGTTTTTTGTACATGTAAACTATGATGCAAAAAATGAATAGTTAATTTTTCTTTAAAAGCTATTTTCAGAAAGTAAGATAAAATAAGGTGACAATTTAAAAAAAAAACAATGGCACATTTTAAAATTAAGGGAATGAAAACACCGTTATAACACATTGCAAAAAAGCATCTATTCTATAATGCCACAGAAATATACTGCTCAAAAAAATAAAGGGAACATTTTAACATGGAACTGAAGTAGTTTGCGTTCCCTTTATTTTTTTGAGCAGTATATAAGCTCTCAATATCAAACTATCAAGTTAAGCAACCAGTCATAGGTTGAGGATTACCTGTATGCTAGGAAACTCTAAACTCTCAGTTATAAGGAGAGAACATTACATAGGTTGCCTTGAGCTCCTGAATAAAGACTGAGATATAAAAATAATAATAATAAGCAGAAATAAACCCTCTGAGGGTCCTTGGTGCTCTCTGAGCTTACTTGTTTTCTTGCAGACATTTCATTATTTGAACTAGGTAACATCATCAGTGCTGGTCTAATAAAACCTCTGTTGGGTATCAATCCATTGTATACTGAATAGAATTTTATTAAGTAATAAACAGAAGAGGGAAACTGGTATCCCATACATCAATACAGATATATACAAGAACCCATCTGTGTATAGTTACCAAATTAAAGATAATTTTCCAAATTATCTTTTAAATAATCCAGTTCAACAAAAAAAAAATCCCAGGAGGGTAGATTTGCATTAAAAAATGGAACAAAAGGCATCTATTTTGTTAGTTGGGAAAATTAAAAGGCATAAAGTTGGAACAGTTATCTCATAAGGCAACACACTGATCAGCTTTTTATTTCTTAAAATTCTTTCTGCAGACAGCTATCCAGCCACCTACCAGTTTTCAGGACTGCAAGTGATACTAGAATATATCAGTTTTGATCCTGGCTACAGAAACTTGCCCCAAAGTGCACCCCTCAAAAGGAATATTCAGAGTTGAACATTTTCTTTCCTCCAAGAACCTTTGTAAGGCAAACAGACATTTCTTGCTATCTATATAGAGAGAAATAATATCCCAAAGATTTAACAGATTAAAAAAATGCCTTTAGGCCATGCATATTATTTTTGTATGAAGACAATTAAACACATTACTCGGTTTTTTGTTTGTTTTTTAAAATGATATGCTGCCCATCTCACTGTTGAGCAACTCTTGGCGGCTTCAATAGATTGAGTCATACACAACAAATGCAAATTAAATCTGACAGCAAAACAATGACCACTAGTGATTCATGCTTGCTTCTTAAAAAAACAATCAATGACACAAAAGAAAAAAATGAATACCACATTACATACAGACTGGATTCATATTAACACAATAGTTTGGGAGATCAGACATTGTACAGGTAGTCCTTGATTTACAGCTGTTCATTTAGCAACTGTTCTAAGTTACAACAGCGCAGAAAAAAGTGACTTATGCCGGTTCTCATACTTATGACCATTACAGTGTCCCACAGTCAAGTGATCAAAATCTGGGCACTTGACAACCAGTACATATAGTTGCAGAGCTCCCAGAATGATGTAACGTGACCCACATTTGCGACCTTCACAGCCAGCCACAAGTAAAGTCAACGGGGAAGCCAGATTCGCTTAATGATTTACTTAAGAACTGCAGTGATTCACAACTGTGGCAATAAAGGTTGTAAAAGGGGACATGACTTACTTAATAACTGCCTTGCTTAGCAATGGAAACTTTGCATTCAACTGTGGTCATAAGTTGAGGACTATCTCTATGTCAGAATGAAATCCCTATGAAAAAAATTCTATAAACATTTTGTAATAATATCTAAGAGTAATATAATGGACTTAAGTGTTTAAAGAAGTTCAAACACAGACCTACTCTTGATGCCAATCTGATTTCTTGGCATTCTCAGTATTTATATCTTATTATCTGACAACCTATGCAGTTTATCAGCTGCATAACTAGCTTAATTATTTTACATCATTGTTACATGAATTCACTAAGTTTTCTTCTAAAGTTTGAAGCAATTCTTTGATTTTTACCTTGGCCTTGACCATAATATTTTATATGATTCCTTAAGACTAAATAAGGAAATTATGAATAGCATTAGTTCCAATGTTCTGCCAGCTTTGACTGCTGAAATTCAGTTCAATTTCCCAAAGTAATTTCAGTTTATGCTGCTCCTGCTGCTCTTACTGGCCGGGGAAAAGAGCAGTTACCGGTACTTAAGATCCCATTACTACTGCAAGGCCTCACTCTCCAGAGGAGATTCTGGCTGTCTTATTCCAAACATAAAAACTGACAAAGACTGTTCTCAACTGTCTGCCTAGTAGATCTTTTTTAAAAAACAAGTTCTTTGGTGTGGGGTTGACTTCTATATTACTGCATGCTTTCTTCTGCAAACTATATCCATTAAATAATTGAAAAGTATGTGTACTGTATTTTTTGCATTACACACATATTAATATGCTGATGAAGTTGCAGATTATAAATTGGAAATGCAAATCAGTTGTTTAGTTAAAAGCATAGCCAAACCAAATGAACAAAACTCCAAGAGCAGTAGTGGCTTTCAATATAAAACATGCTTGATTTTCATGAGAACTTGACTTCAGTGAATACATTATATAAAATTCTAGTAACCAAACTGAACTGAAACCTGAGAATTTCCACTTCTTCCTGCTCTTTGATTTTCTTATAAGTTTCAAATAAACAAAGAAATTAAGTACCAAGTAAGCTAAACTACAATCTGGAGAATATTACTAGAAGAACTGAGCTAAAGACTGCATTCTATCATTTAATCTCCTATGGTGAGAACAAGACTTGCACATCCACAACCCAAACACTATCATTTAACAGTAAACTTCTTAATAACCCAAAAGGGATTTACAATGTGCTAACACATGCCCGATATTATCCTAATTGTTTAAAAATATATAGATTTTTAACAAAATGGCCAAAATCTTGTGAATTTTGACTACCTTTAAATGTTATTTTTCTTGAGGGACATGCATGTTATTGCATACCATTATGTAATGATTTGAGAATTTGAGTATGATTTGCTACTGCGGTTTGTTCATTCTTTGCCTTGGTTAAAAAAACAACCTCTTTTGAGCAAGGGGAATTAGGGGTTGTTTGCGGTCAAATATTTGTTATTTTAAGATAATCCTTATATATACAAAACAAGAAAATCCAGTTGGAGTCCATCATGGGTATTGCTACTAAGAGTGTTGGTGTAGGTCCATGTGTAATATAAAGTGGTTTCAGATATCTATTATAAAAATATAGTAAAAGAATCTCCATTAAATGTGGCAAATCAATACAATAAGTATAAAGAATAAAATATGAGAATAGGAATACAATTATTTCAACGTGAGTTTTTTTTGCAAAGATTTACTTCATTTATACACATTGCTATAGCTTCTCACTTTTGTTTAGCTTATGCACATCATGTCTGAAAAACCAAAATTTTACATGCGCTTTGAAAACTTTTTCTCAAACTATTAGAAATACCTGCTCTGCTTTATATACTACATTCATATAAAGTGTACATGCAGTTTAGATATATTTTTACAGCACGAATATAAAACAAAGTCATTTGAAGTCAAACACCCACTAAATACTACGGACTTGTTTTTAAGCACGTGTGACACTGTATTTAAGATAACTAAGTGTTCAATATTAAAATCTATAGGGCTAAGAAATGTTTGGTTAGGATTTACAGCTTGCATTTCCTTCATAAAGAGCTTCTTTAATAAAAAGCCGTTACAATTTTGAGTATTTACGAACTGAAACATTGCAGAACATAAAAGTGGGGATTCTTGAAAGGGGGGAAGGGGGAGAGAATCAGGAAAACCTATCAAAACATCATCAACATCCTTTTTATTTCCTAGTCGATTCAAAATCTTTTCTTTAAAAAGGAATTTAAGGAACACCTATCGCTTTAGGCTAAAAATAACAGAGGCCATTCACACCCTTTTCGACTTCTAAGTAAACCCAAACATTCCAGAAACCGCTTTTGGAAGGCTGCATTTTGAAACCGATATTCACCATAGGTTTGTGGATAGAGTTAAAATACACAAGACTAGAAGTAGGCATCTAATTCAGTAACACAGACGGGAAAAGGTTGGGGGAAGAGAAGCGGGAAAGGAACCAGAGGTTTAAAGTGTCTGCCAGCAGGACCGCAAATGTCATCTTTCTACCAGCCTCCCTTCGCCCCTCCCAAGTCCCCAACTCTGCAATAATCTTGGCTAGATTCTCACCACAACGTGAGCCCCGGACAACGACAGCGGTTTGGGATAGTTGAGCGGCGAGACAAGGTAGAGAAGCAGCAGAAAGGCCACAACGAGAGCGACCCCCGTGGCCGCCACCAGCAGAACCGCCCCCGGCATCACTGCGCCACGAATGCCACAGACTCGAGTGAAGCCCTCCGCCGAAAGCGCCGGTGCCGGTGCCCTCCCCTCCGCGGTCCCGCTCGACCGAGTGACCCGGTCAGCCAAACGAAGGCGTACTACGGCTGCTTTTTCAAGGAAACTAACCCTAGGACAAGGGGGCGGGAAGAAAACTAGAGCTGCTTTCTCATTGGGAAGCAGACGGAAAGGAAGATCGGATTGGCTGCCTATGCCGAGGTCGGAGGGGGGGCATACGAACGGAGCGCGATGACATATCCGCACGACGATTGGCGGGCCTCTCGAACCTGGAGTGCAGACTGAAGGGTTGGCGCGCTCGGCTGGGAGGGATGGAGAAGACGGCGGCAGTTGAGGGCTGGCCGGCTATTGTTTTGTCCTTGGCTCCGATTCCCGCCGGCGCCGCTGGAGGGAGAGGGGAGGAGAAGCAGGTGGAGGAAAACCGGCGACGGTGCCGTAGTCGATCTTTCACATGTAAATAGGGCGACTAAGCAACACCTCGTCCTGCTATACTTAAAACACGATTCCTCCAGAACGGGGACCAACTCACAAATTAATATGCCCTTAGGATCGTTGCCTTAAATAACTCCAAACAGATAACCTTTATTGTCATATTTTTTTTTTATTGTGGGCACACATTAAAAATGAAATTCTGTTGCCTGCTCTCAAAAGTGTACACATACACAACACATATAAACATGTTATATACAACATACGTATATACCTTGAGTCCCGTAAGGGAGATAGGGCGGTATATAAATTCAATAAATAATAATACCTACACCCTTACATATAAATATTAATCACTGCCCATGTTGAATACATAGCGAAAAGAGGAAAGCTGAGCGTTCACAAGGTTAATACTGTGAAATAATTGAAGAATAGCACTGAAGGAGAATTTAAAAAGTCCCCATTCAGTTACACAAGACATCTATAAATAAAAACAAAAGTACAGGTTGGCAGATAAGAGTCTTTTACTGCGTTATTATACATTCCATTTTGTTACTTTTAAGGTATTTATAATTACTTCATATTTAGCTTGGAGTAAGGAGTGAAAGACTTATTCAGGTGGGATGGGTGCTTTTCTGATATCTATTTGAAAACATAATCTGGAACTTGTCTCCTGAATACTTGCCAAAAGTCATGCTCCTCAGCTATTATATAAATTACTGTGGGTTGTCATGTTCTTGTAAACCAGGCATGTCAGAACTGCCGTGGGCCACATTGCAGCTCTGGACAGCTAGTAATACGACCCCACAAGATCATAAACTTTTAAAAGTATGTGATTTATATACATTAACTATATTATTTATTTTATATGTAGATCAAGACAATTCCTCTTCATTCAATGTGGCCCAGGCAAGCCAAAATGCTGGACACACAAATGCTTCATTACTTGTTTGATGCGTGATCTTTGGACATTCCTGAAAAACAATTTTAGTAATAAGACATATTGTGATGGGCCTATACTAGGGCTTGATGTTTGACATACCTTGTACATTTTCCTTTCATCTTGAAGAAAAATATAGTCTTTACATAGCAGCAGATCTAGTTTAGAAATGACCTGTTCAAATAAGAAAACACAATTTTCAAAATGTCCAGCAAATGAAAAGTATGAATTGGTTAATGCTCCTTCTATTTGTATAAAAATAGAATGCAAGATTTTGTTTATTGATTGAATTTAAATCCAATTTATAAGCTACCCATCTCATCTCTGGGTGGTTTACAATTAAAGTCATAAATATTAAAACTATTAAAAGCAATACATTTACCCCAAAGTGGTAAAAGAGGAAGGAAAGAAGGAAAGCAATAATTACATTAAATACAAAATGATGAAAGATATAAGCAGATAAATTAGCAGGCAATACTCTAAAAACACTTTAGAAGGACAGAAACCTCTTCAGAGGATAGAGCTCAGATAAAACTACTGTTTGACAGATTTTGGAATGGGACAATTCGCCGTGGCACCAGGTATCAGAATGGGACAACTTGCCGTGGGCCAATTCGCCAACTTGCTGCAGCCAACTCAACACGGGACAATTCAACAAATACAAAAGTTAAATTAATTTCAATGGAACTGTGGCCAATAATAATAAAATAAAGAAAGTCAATACAGAAATACAAGAGTTATAATAATTTCGGTGAAAATAGGGGTGACCAATAATAAAAGTAACTGAATGAAACAATTAATATAGCGTTGAATTGTCCCATGGTAAGTTGTCCTAGACCCATAGATACGGGTCTGTCTTGCAAATGAAGATCCAGGAGGAAGCCACGACTACTATTGAGGAAGGATAGGATATAGATGTATTGTAAATAAATAAAAGCTGGAATTAATCCAAATCCAAATGTCTTAAATTGTACTTGCTTTGGTTTAGCTGAAATATCAACTACTTACAGTATTTACTGAAATAAGTCTAGCATGTGCCTAAGAAATCCAGTTTCACAAGCCTATGTTCTCATGAGTTCATATTACTTTTGCCTTGGTGAGCACATTTGGAATTTTGAAAATATGTTGTGAGCATTCTTGTTGAATGATTCCCAGAGGCTAATCTGCCCATTTACAAATTATCTGCCAGATGTTACAAAGATATACAAGAATCCTATTTGCTAGCCTTTTCCTATTGTCCAGGTATTTATTTAAAATATTTCCGGATCAGGGGACAAACAAGCAAAAAAGCATTGGACTGTTATTATTTATATATATATAAACATAATTATATTTTTATAAGTTATATGATCTACAGCAGTGTTTCCCAACCTTGATAACTTTTAAGATGTGTGAACTTCAACTCCCAGAATTCTCCAGCAGGCATACCAGCAAAGGAATTCTGGGAATTGAAGTCCACACATTTTAAAGTTGCCAAGGTTGAGAAATTCTGATCTACAGTACTTGGAGCTGAAATGCATTGGAAATAAAAGCCATGCTGATCACTTTCAGCATTGCAGGGTTTCATTTTGGGGAAATGGCGTTGGGGGCAGGAAAAGTCTTATATGCCAGAAAGCCTGTCAGGAATCAAGGGAATATTGGTGTTCCCGGATGCTATGTGGGGGGCCTGATTCTAAAATTTCTCACATATTTTATGTTGTATAGTATGCAGTCTTCAAAGGAACTACATCTACGTAGAGGGAAGCATGCAGTATGGAGTACCTCAAGGTTCTGTCTTAGGCCCAGTGCTCTTCAACATCTTCATAAACAATCTAGATGAGGGGATAGAAGAGGAACTCATCAGATTTACAGATGACACCAAGCTGGGATGACTTCCTAATACTTTGCAAGATAAGCTCAAGATTCAGGTGGATCTTAACAGACTTGCTCTATCCAACAAGATGCAGTTCAGTAGTGAGAAAAGTAAGATCCTGCACTTAGGCAGGAAAAACCAAATGCATAGGTACAGAATAAGCAGTACTTGGTGCAACAGTAGAAACTGTGAGAAAGATCTAAATGATCCTACTGGAGTGCCACCTAAGCCAGCAATGTGCTGCAGCTGCCAAAAAAGCCAATGCATCCTAGGCTACATCAACAGAGGGATAGCATCAAGATCAAGAGAAGGGATGATACTTTATACCACACTAGTGAGGCCACACTTGAAATACTATATACAGTTCTGGTCACCCAATATAAAAAAGATGCTGAGACCTAGAAAGTGTGCAGAGAAGAGCCACAAATATGCTAAAGGGTCTGGATGCTAAATTATGATGAACAGGTCAGGGAGCTAAGTATGTCTATCAAAGAGAAGAATTGGGGGGGGACATGGTAACTGTATTCCAGTACTCTGAGGGACTGTCACAAAGAAGAAGGGATTGATTTATTCTCCAAAGTACCAGAGGGCAGGACAAGAAGTAATGGGTGAAAGGTTATTAATGACATTTCATTTAGAAGTAAGGAGAAATTTCCTGACAGTGAGGATAAGTAATCCTAGAGTTGTAGGTGCTCCATCGCTGGAAATTCGCAAAAATAGATTGGACAACCCTTTGACCGGGATGGTATTAGGTCTTCTGCCTTGAGCAAGGGATTGGATCAGAAGATCTCCAAGATCCCTTCCAGCCCTATGATTTTATGTTCTATGCTCCTCTAACAAGAAGAATTAAAAATGAAAGTTATGGTAAATACATAATCACTAACAGATGAAAGGAAGCAAACAAGCCAAGAAAATAATTCTGCTGTGTGTGTGTTTGTGTGTAGCATCTGAAGAAAAGGTTCAGCCCAAAAGCACAATGTGCAACAAATGGCCATGCATAGCAGAAGCTGGATTCCAAATGCAGTCAGACAGGCAGCAAAAAGCCTTCCAAAGGTTTCCAAGCTCTTTGGTGTCTGACTCCCTTTGGGACTCAGCTTCTACTTTACCTGACCATTTGATGCATGCAGTATCATAAAACAGAAAAACACCAGAATTAAAAAAAACTCTAAAATGGTTCTAAGAAACAAGACAAACTGTACAAAAAATTATTAGAGCGATGAAAATAAAGTGATTAAAAAGGCCTAGGGCCGGCAAAGTAAAAAAGATTTTAATTATGGTAAAAAAAACATTAATGGAGGCATGACTAACCTCTAAGGAGCTTTATATTACTGACACCAGTGCCTAGAACTTTGCACTGTTTCAAACTGGGTTTTAGCAGTGCCATTAGCTATTATATTCTCTATAAATTATAAAAACAAAGTAGCTCAATAGTAAAACAAGGTATTCCTTCTACAGTTTGGCCTTTAACCTTTAGACCCATTTAAGGCAACACCAATCAGCCTGCTTAATAGCTGGTAACTAGGACAGATTTTTCAGGATAGGCATTATGTATAAGGAATCCACTGAATCTATTGTATAGCATTCTAAATAGAGCCCCACCTATAATGCATTTCATAATCCAGTCTTGAAGTCATCAATGCATGGTATTCTCTGACAAGATTACTCATATCCTAGAAAATCTTTCGTTGTACAAACTAAAATTGTAATAGGTATTTTTGACCTCCAAGACTACTTTATGCTCCAATGACAAATCAAAAACAACCTACTCCTGAATATGAACCTACAGTGGATACAA